TTTATGACATTGGATTAGTTTTTGCAGTCAAGCTAAGGTACTTAATCTTTTGCAGAGATTACACCATAGAGCTTCCCGGAGTTTTGTAGCTGAGTGTGAGGTGTTGAAAAACACTAGACACCGCAATCTTGTCAAGCTACTAACTGCTTGTTCAGGGTTTGATCTTCAAGAAAATGATTTCAAGGCTTTAATTTACGAGTACATGTGGTTACCCCCTCCTCTGAATTATTAGTCATGAAAATGTGGTTACCCACCGTATTTTCTATTTGAAGACCACTTTTTTTCCTCAATTTTTATTTATTTGTTTGTTCTCATTCCGCCGACAACAATGTTTCTTCTTCTTCCTATTAGGGGGAGCGGCAATATATGTCACGTTTTGAAAATAGATGGGCAACATTTATACCACTAATAATTCAGGGGTGACATTGATAATTGACATATTTGTGAGGGGCATAAATTACAATTTTCCCTTTAAACATTTTCCTAATTAAGTTTCATGTCTACATTTTGGCCATGTTTGGTAACATAATTAGCTTATTAGGCAATTTTTACTTATTTGAACACTATTAATTAGTTGTTTGACTTGGTTAAACATTCTAAGTTTGATTAATTTGCTTTTTGTAATAGCTTATTGCTCTAAAATGTTAAAATTCAAAAAAGTTACTCATAGCAGCTTTTTCGATCAATTTTTTGAGAAAGTCGTTTGGCATATAATCAGCTATCATCTAACAACTAGTTTACCAAACATCTTTCTACAATCAGCTAATGCTATCAACTACTCTAACCTACTAATTACCCAATCAGCTAATAGTTAACAACTATTTACCAAACACCCCTTTATCTTAAATGGCGATTTTTCAATGTCCCATTCTCATTTTCTTTATAAAAATTAAAGCAGAGGGATTTAAGGTCTAGTTTGATTTGTCTTTTGTAAGTATATGACTGTGCAAATTGTTTTGCCAGTCTCTCCGGTTTGTCGTTGAAAATGAAAGGACTTCACAAGAATACATGCATTTGGGTGTTATCAAATTTTTGGAACCAAAATCCACATAAATAACTTTCAATTTGTATTTTTTTTAAGTTTATTTGAGGTTGTAAAAAAATTAAATAGGAATATTATTTTCTATTTCCATCTTCTCCGTTAATCAAGTTCCTTTCTTCTAAGGGAAATACATTTTTTTGAGTTTACTTTTCTGACATAATTGATGGATTGAATAAAAATAAATAACCAGGACTATGTGGTCCAATGGTACCCGGATTGGACTTCCATTTGGAAGGTTGTGAGTTCGAGCTTCAGTGGAGGCGTTATTAGCTCCTTATGTTTCAGTAGGTTGAGAAAGTATATGAACAGATACTACAATGTAATAGAGCTAGTAGCATTCAAAAAAAAAAAGAATAAAAATAAATAAATCACATTACACATAGTTGTCTTGTGAGTTGTGACATTCATGTAGTGCCCTTTCTATCATTCTTAGGTGACGCCATGTCGCCATTGATATATAGAGCTTAGATTCTCGATTTATGAAAACTTGAGAATAAGTTTAGAGTTTAAAGACTAATATACAATAAATTAGAAAAATTAAAACACAAAACTTTAAAACAAATATTGCTATTGCTTGGTAATAAAGAGAAAATAATTTTTCAAGGACCTTGTGGTACAATAGTATCAAGTTGCTCCCTCATGGGGGAGATTGTGGTTTTGAGCCTCTATGGAGATTAAGACGATATTAGCTACTATTTTTTATAAATGTCCTTATTTACATAATATATGCATATTACAAGAGTTAATTCTATTTTTGATCATAAATTTATAGGTGACAGTCCACTTCTATTTCTTTTTTATTAGAACACCTTCATTTAGTCCTAGTATTATTATGGGATAACCATTTTTAGTCCCCCTTGAACAAAATCGTTGAAATGTCGTTAAATACAAAAAACATTCAATCTTTAAATTTTTTTTATACAAAGTAGGTTGAACCGCTATATTTTTTATGTTTTTTTTTTAAAAAAAGATCCATAATTGAAGACCAAAATGTCTATGTATTTAACAATATTTAAACTGTTTTGTTGATAAAGGATCAAGAATGGTCATATATATAACAATAATAATAGGACAAAAAATGAATGTTCTAATAAAAAGGGTCTTAAAGTGGATTGTCACCTATAAATCTAGGACAAAAATGAAATTAACTCCATATTACAATTAGTATATATAAACATCTATATAATTCAATTATTCCCATTATCACCAACGAAATTACGAAAATACCAATTCTTGGTTTATTTGGCTAACAATAATCATATGGGATTGGAGATTCTATCAGAAATATTATTTGAAGGAAATATTGTGAATATGTGCGAAACTAGTGTATCAAACTACAAAGAATGGGTGTTGAAGCTGTGAAGGAAAATTGGAGAACGAATGAAGGGTATTTAACATTTTCTCTCTCCAAATTATGGGTGTTGAAGGTGTGGAGGAGAATTGGCGATGAATGAACTCAATGAAGGGTATTTGGTTTCATTCTGCTGAGGAACATTTAATATTTTTAGATTTAATGATATTAACCTTAGATTTAACATCCATTATTTATAAAAAATTATAATGGGGGACTATTTGTGGTAAAAAATGAAAGTCAACGTATATTTTTTAGTCGAATTAAAAGTCAATGATTAAAAGGAGTACTACCCCTATAGTCAGACGACCATTTGTGGTATTAATTAAAAAAAAAGTAATAATAATGAATGAGTTGAAAAATTGCACATCATCTTGCAATTGCGCAGGCATGTCGAAGGTCTTAGACTCTTAGTAGATGTATATGAGAGTCTGTTCGACAGAGATTATTTAGGAGCTTATAGCTTATTTTAAGCTAATAATAAGTTATAAGCTCTGTTTGGTAATGTTCCCAAAATAAGCTCGTAGCTTAAAATAAGAGCTTATTTTGGAGCGTTTCGAAATAAGCTACTAGCTTCCTAACTTTTTTCCCATCTTTGTCCTTATTATTTTAAAGAAATGACATCATTTACTCTTCCCAATTAAAATCCTTTTCTCTTCTCCTTTATCCGCAACTTTCACCGCAATTATTATTATTATTATTATTATTATTATTATTATTATTATTATTATTATTATTATTATTATTATGAGATGGAGGAGATTCGCAATAATATTGCTACTTTATTATGGGATGCTAAATCATGATTCTGCTAATGATTTTATTTTAAAAAGTAAATTTTTTTTTGAAGACAAAATGTTAAATTTTAATATGTATACAAACTAATTTAAATTTATAAAAATGTTATTCTTTGTCTTTTTACATTTATCAATTTATCAAAAAAACTAATTTTACCAAACACTTCCAAGCATAACAGCTCTTAAGTTTTCAGTTTCAGACTTATAACTTTTCAGTTTCAACTACCTTTTCAACTAGGTTTGCCAAATATAGCCTGAGTGTGCAAATTGTAATGGCACTCTCGACGGTTTGTTATCGAAAATGAAAGGACCTCAAAAGAATACATTTGGGTGTTAAATTTTTGGAACCAAAATCCAAGTAAATAACTTTTAATTTATTTTTTTTGTTTCTGTTTTTTTTTTTTTCTAGGTAGTACAAAAAAAATTAATTAGAAATATCGTTGTCTATATTTTGCGGTGTGATTGATTTCCATCTTCTCCGATAACCAAGTTCTTGCCATTTTAAACAAGCAGAAGACTTTTTTTTTTTTTTAGTTTACTTTTGTTAACGATAATAATGATAAAAGTAAAGCTGGATCAGATAATAAAAAACAAATTTAAAAAATCATATTACAGTTAGCTATCTTAGGTTGTGGCATTCATGTAGTGCCCTCCCAGGGATTCTTACATGTAAGTAGATGAGTGTGCAAATGGTTATGCCGGTCTCTCCAGGTTGTTGTTGAAAATGAAAGGACTTCAAAAGAATACATTTGGGTGTTGTCGAATTTTTTGAACCAAAATCCACATAAATACCTTTCAAAAATAAAAATAAAAATAAAAATTGAGGGGTTTATTTGAGGTGGTACAAAAATTGAAGAGGAATATTATTTTATATTTCCTCTTCTCCGATAATCAAGATCCTTAATTTCCTCTAAGGAAAATACATTATTTTGAGTTTATTTTTTGACATAATTGATGTATCTGATAAATACAAAAAGAAAAAAAAAATCACATTACAAATAGCTTTCTTGTGAGTTGTGACATTCATGTAGTGCCCGGCCTTCCTACCACTCATTCATGACAGCATTGATGACAATTAATATTTATGCATATTTAGAAAATATATTTACAAATATATACTCCTATACTTTAAAAAAAAAACATATACTCCTATTATTGTTATTGTTATTGTTATTGTTATTTTATTATTATTATTATTATTATTATTATTATTATTATTATTTTAATTTTGAGTACTACTGACTCTATTAAAGTGTAGTAACATACTGAAGCACAAAGAGTCAATGTTACCCCCATTATCCATGACCTTCCATTTGGAAGAACAACTTCATGCCGACTACAAATAGAAATAGTTGTTTGATCTGATCTTGTGGCATTCATATATACAGTGCCCTTCCAAATTTGTTCATATCAAATTAATTCTATTGTGACATTTACATTAGATTGTGTAGGGTTAGACATTATTTTTAATATTGGATATATAACTATTGAATTATTAATTTATTATAGAAGCTTAAAAAAAAAGTTATTATAGATGACAACTTTTCTTAGATAACTCAAAATAATCAAGACAACAATTAGTTGTCTGGAATTGAAGTATTTTGGATGGAATTTATTTTAAATATATTCCTACAAAAAATTGACTAATAATCAAGCTTTTGTCTTCTAAAGAAAATGCATTATCTCTTCTGTTCGTTTACTTTTCTAACGACAGTTGTTTAAGCAATGGTAGATAAAAACACAAAATAACATTACAAATAGAAATAGTTGTCTGATCTGATCTTGTGGCATATTCATATATACAGTGCCCTTCCAACAATTCTTATATAAGACTTACCATCTTCCTTTGGCACACCACACCACACTAATAATGGCTTTTCCCACTCTTGATTTCTTTTCCACTAAGCCTATCCTTTCTATGTATTTCTTCACTTTCTTGGTTCTAGGATCTCCCTTCATTTCATCCGCCTCCAAGCTACCGGGCAATGAAACAGACAAAGTTTCACTCCTTGAATTCAAGAAAATGATCAAAGATGATCCATTTGGTGTTATGGCCTCGTGGAATGAAACCATCCATTTCTGTGAATGGCGTGGTGTTTTTGTGTGGCCGCCGCCACATGAGAGTCATGGTCGTAAATCTCACTTCCCTGAAATTGGTGGGATTAGTGCCTTCACACATTGGGAACATGAGCTTTCTCAAGGATTTGGACCTCCAAAACAATAGTTTTTCAGGTGACATCCCACAAAACATTGGTCATTTGCATAGATTACAAACAGGGCCGGTCCTATCATTTTATAGGCCCGGGGCAACAAAAATCAATCATTATTGTGTGGACCATGGTCCACATAAGTTGTATGAACCAGATTTTACCTATTGTAAAATAATGTACATTCAATACAAAAATAATGTATATTCAGTACAAAAATAATGTACATTGTATTCAGAGGATGTACATTATTTTTATTCTGAGTGTACATTATATTGTATAATGTATATTCAGTACAAAAATAATGTACATTTAATATATTAAAAATGTACTTTTTGTTATGGTCCACGTAACATTGTGTGGACCATGGTCCACTCAATAATTTGCCAACAAAAATAGGCCCTACATGAAATTAATATATACTTGCATAATTATATAAAAAGTATACTAATTACAAATAACTTGAAATACGATATACAAGTTTTTAACAATTTTGCATACACAGTAATAATAATGAAAACAACTCTAGATGTTTTCGTTAGTTATAAATGAATTTTCCTTTGTTGGCTTAAAAAAATTACAAAATATTCAATAATTGCATATGAGACTTCATAAATAAAGAATTATAATATAATTTATAAAAGTGGATAAACCATTTACAACCAAATAAACTTATAGACAATCACATTGTTATTATAATAAATAATAAAATAATTATTAATAAAAATTATAAAAAAAACAACTTACAAATAAGAGTAGAGCATGAATTCTTAATTATTGAAGCAATAAATCAAAACACCTTAAAATGTGAGAAATGATATTCATAACAAAATATGAAACATGATTAATTGGATAAAATAGTTCGAATAGAAAACACGTTATAAATCATGCATATTCTCTAGAGATATCATATTTATAAATACTTTTTTCTTTTAGTTAGGTCAATTTCAAGTCCTTTTTAGATTAATTTGAATAGAATGACGCATAATAGAACTTTTAAACTACATTGATTAGATAATTCAAAAAAAAAAAAAACAAAAAAAACTATCATTTAAAATAATTTCATAACTAAATCACAAAATATATTACATATACATAAATCATTATAAGGTTCACAAAATAACGCATGTTCTAAATATTAGTAAATTACTCAAATATAAATAGATTCAAAAATTGATATGAATCACAAATCAATCTATATTATAAATCTCACTATAATTATAGAAATTAAAAAAAAAAATCACATAGTTACAACTCAAAAAATACAATTAGAAATAAAAATAAATTATATACGTATTATATAATATTTCTAAATTATCTTCTAAAGAGTAGTGAGGAAAAATTAAGTTCTATAAGTTATAATTATAATTTTAATACTATATAATATAATATCCCTAATTTTAATACTATATCTACTATACTAATATCACTAAATTAGTCTTGAAAGAAAATTTTTTGGAGCAATTAGAACTCGAACCACCCTTGACCTCTATATTGATGTGCAAAATTCCAACCAACTACGCTAAGTTAACATTGTGAACCTTAAATGTATATTAATTACTTATACCTAAAATCTATAGTACAGTATATATATAAATGGCAGTTAGCTAAGATGGTGGGCCCCTTTCAAGTGTGGGCCCTGGGCATGGGCCCAGCTCGCCCTTGCCCAGGGCCGGGCCTGATTACAAATTTTGCATTTGAACAATAACTCATTTAATGGGTTTATACCGTCAAATATTTCTGTATGTAAAAACCTACAACTTGTGGATTTTTCATACAACAATCTTGTGGGCAATATTCCATCAGAGCTTGGCACCCTAACTAATCTTCGAGCCCTTTCTTTTCATCACAACAACCTTAGTGGTAAAATCCCTCATTCTCTTGGAAATCTTTCATGGCTTAATCGTTTTGATGTCTCCATTAACAACTTATTTGGGGAAATACCTTATTCTTTATGTAGATTATCTGAACTACAATACCTTTTAGTTAGCCAAAATAATTTGAGTGGCACTATACCCCCTTCTCTATTCAACCATTCATCCATGTTGGCTATTAATGTGGCTAGAAATCACATAAGGGGGACTTTGTGTTGGAAAAATAGCTCAAAATGGCATGTTAAGTGGCTATTTTGTGGTACAATTATCAGTGGGGTCCACTACCGATTTGGGTTGGGTTAAAGTGGATTCAGATACTTCGTAGTGAGACGAAGAGATTGATATATTGTACGCTCAAAACGGATAATGGGTGAATCAGATATTGATTCTCAAAGTAGACCCATTTGAGTTGGAAAATGAAGGGAAAAAGTGGCTTTTGTCCCACATTGCTTTGGAATGAAGATTTCCCCCCCTTATATACAAGAGCTCTTTTGAAGTAGTAGAATTGTATAGCATAGAGGCTCTCTTGCGCGGTGGGGGGTGGGGGTGGGGGTGCAAATCAAATTCCAACTAGAGATTGAAAAAGGCTTGACTCTCAAGCCCGTCCGGAAATTGTTATGCCAAACGACAGAATCATTTTCCAACATACCTCCACTGGAGGTGGCCGAAACCTGTAGTCTCGGCCATGGTCTGGCCGAAACAGTTGTCTCGGCCTTGCGGGCCGAGACAGTAAAAGGGTCAGCCGAAACTTCCAAGTTTCGGCCTGGTGGTCGAAATTGAGAGTTTCGGCCTACACGAACCTGTGCAGTTTTGTGACCGTTGGCTCTTCAATTCTACTGTTACGGAATTAATTTTTGAATTAATTCCAATTTTTTTAATTTTGAATTGAAGGCCATGATAATGGTGCTGTTACAGGAAGGTGGAAGGGGTGCCCTTAAGTGCCTAATTAAAAGCTATTAAATCCTTCACCCCTATAAAAAGAGGAGTTGGGCAGTAGAGTTTTACACACAGAAAATAGAACACGAAAGTTCTTCTTTTAGTCTCAAAACCTCTCTGCTTCTACTCCTTCTTTAGCCTACTGTGTTCATAGCCATTGTCTTGCTCGCCGGATTCTTTGTTTGAAAGCTCAAACATTGAATCATAGCAAGTTTTATCCTGGGAAGCCTAGGCCACAACGCTCCTAGCATCTTTGGGATGTGGCAAATAAGGTTTTAAGGAAAGAGTGCTTACTCGACTCTTGCAAAAACCCAACACCAAACACTAGCCCAATTTCTTCATTTTTTCTTCCCTTCTTTCTAGAAAATAATAGTCAATTTTATTTGATTATTATTTGTTTTTCTACCAATGGTACCAATAGTCTTAAAACCTTATTAGTATATTTGTTTTCCCGTTGGTGGTCTTCTCCGAATTTCCTTGAAGAAAATGGAGCATCCCGTACTGCCAATTGATGGGGAGGATAATGTTGTTGCGGACAACAATGGAAGAAACGGCAACAATAACGTTGTTGCGGATAACATTGGAGGGAATGGCAACAATGTTGCTAATTCCCAAGCTACACCAGTGAACGTTGGTTCACAAGATGGTGGGAGCACTGAGGGATATATTCCCATGTCTCGGGTACCTTCGGTACCGAGTGGTTCGGCTGAAAAGCCAGAGAAGTTCACCGGTGTTGGTTCGAACTTAAGAGGTGGCAACAAAAAATGTAGTTCTACCTAGCAACTCTCGGATTGGCGAGGTTCTTGTCCGAGAAGGTTCCCGAGTTGAAGGAACAAGATGCACAATCCGTGATGGCAGTTGGCTATTGGAAGGATTCGGACTTCCTTTGCCGAAACTACATCCTGAACGGATTGTGTGACATGCTATATGATGTATATCGAAAGATAAGCACATCAAAGGCGTTGTGGGAAGCTTTGGATCATAAATACCGAAGTGAGGATGCCGGCTCAAAGAAATTTGTGGTTGGCCGATTCCTCGACTTCAAAATGGTTGATTTAAAGACCGTGCTAAGTCAGGTAGAAGATTTGCAATTAATCTTCGATGAGATCCGTGACGAGGGCATGGTGTTAAGTGAAGCCTTCCAAGTGGGATCTGTGATCCATTTGTTGCCTCCAGGTTGGAAGGACTTCAAGAACTACCTTAAGCATAAGCGAAAGGAGATGAACCTGGAAGACCTGATCCAGCGACTCAGGATTAAGGAAGGGAACAGGACGAATGATAGGAAAGTTCCTATCGTTGTTGGCGCTAAGGCCAACGTTGTGGAGCACGGTAAGAGCTCCAAGAGGAACCAGAAGAACAAGCGAAAGCTAGGTCCGAAAGGTGGCGTTACCAAGAACAAGTTTCCTGGTGAATGCTACAATTGTGGCAAGCATGGCCACAGAGCATCTGAATGCAAGGCTCCAAGGAAGAAGAACAAAAGTTCTGAAGCCAATGTTGTTGGAGATAGCAATCAGAAGGAGGTCGAGATTAGCCTTTCGGCTATGGTGACCGAGGTGAACCTCGTGGGCTCAAACCCTCGTGAGTGGTTCATTGATACCGGTGCAACCAGGCACTTGTGTTGCAACCGAGAGATGTTCAACACCTTTGAGACCGTTGAGGGTGAAAAGGTGTGGATGGGAAACTCTGCTCAGTCTGTTGTGGAAGGCATGGGCAAGGTGGTTCTGAAGATGACTTCCGGGAAGGAACTGACGTTGAACAACGTGCTGTATGTTCCTGAGCTGAGGAAGAATCTTGTGTCTGGCTCTCTGTTGAACAGGCATGGCTTTCGCATGGTGTTCGAGTCAGACAAAGTAGTTTTGTCCAAGTTAGGGATGTTTGTTGGTAAAGGATATGTAACTGATGGGCTGTTTAAGCTCAGTGTAATTCCTGTTATCAATAAAAGCAAAGTTAATTCTGTTTACTTGCTTGAGTCTTCCAATTTATGGCATGGTAGACTAGGTCATGTTAATTTTAATTCTATGCATAGATTAAGTAGCATGGACCATATTCCTAACTTTCAAATTGACACAAATAACAAGTGTGAAATTTGTGTTGAGGCAAAACTAACGAAAGTACCTTTCAAATCGGTTGAAAGGGAAACTGAACCACTAGAATTAATCCATAGTGATTTGTGCGATTTTATATCGATACAAACGAGAGGTGGTAATAAGTATTTTATCACATTTGTCGACGATAGCACACGATACTGCTATGTGTATTTGCTTAAGAGCAAAGATGAAGCCGTTGATAAATTCGTTCTTTATAAGAATGAAGTAGAAAACCAACTTAATCGGGGGATTAAGAAGGTTAGAAGCGATCGAGGTGGTGAATACGAAGCACCTATTGGTGACTTCTGTGCGAGTGTAGGTATAATACATGAGCGTACTGCACCTTACTCACCTCAATCGAACGGTGTTGCCGAACGAAAGAATCGTACATTGAAAGATATGATGAATGCGATGTTTATAAGTTCGGGCCTACCTCAAGATGCGTGGGGTGAGGCGATTTTGACAAGTAATTACCTTTTGAATAAGGTACCTCGCAAGAAGCTCGATAAGACTCCTTATGAGCTGTGGAACGGTAGGAAACCTTCCTACCAGTACCTGAAAGTGTGGGGGTGTCTTGCCAAAGATTTGGTGCCAACACCTAAGAAAGTAAAGATAGGTCCTAAGACGGTGGACTGTATCTTTATTGGCTATGCACATAATAGTAGTGCTTATCGGTTCTTAGTACACGAGTCCCATAATCCGGACGTACACGAAAACACGATAATAGAATCAAGGAATGCATATTTTTTCGAGAATATATTTCCTTGTAGGTCCAACGAGGGACCAAGTACGTCAAAACGAACATTTGACGAAACTATGGATAATGATAGTGGGGAATCCGAGAGAGAACCCGAGTTCGAGCCGAGACGTAGTAAGCGGGCGAGAGTTGGAAAAACATTCGGTCCTGATTTTCTAGCTTACTTGTTAGAGTACGATTCGGGTACTCTAACTTGTTTATTAAAAAACGAACCTGATTTTCTATCTTGTTTGATAGAAAACGAGCCTCGAACGTATGTAGAAGCCGTGACTTCTACAGAAGGACCAATGTGGAAAGAGGCTATAAAAAGTGAAGTGGATTCTATTCTACAGAATCATACTTGGGAACTTGTTGATCTTCCTCCGGGTAGTAAACCCTTAGGATCCAAGTGGGTCTTTAAAAGGAAGATGAAACCGGACGGTTCCATCGAGAAGTATAAGGCCAGGCTTGTAATCAAGGGTTACAGGCAACACGAGGGCCTCGATTACTTTGACACGTATTCTCCCGTGACGAGAATAAACTCCATAAGGATGATACTTGCCATAGCCGCGTTGCGGAACTTGGAAGTTCATCAAATGGATGTGAAAACCGCTTTCCTAAACGGCGAATTAGATGAGGAAATCTATATGGAATAACCCGAAGGGTTCGTGGTTCCGGGCCAAGAAAGGAAAGTGTGTAAGTTGGTTAAATCGCTCTATGGTTTAAAACAAGCGCCTAAGCAGTGGCACAAGAAGTTTGACCATGCGATGTTAACTAACGGGTTTAAAATAAACGAAAGTGACAAATGCGTCTACGTTAAGGAAACGATAGACGGCTACGTCATTCTTTGTTTATATGTCGATGATATTCTCATCGTTGGTAGTAATGACGGATGATCAAGTCTATCTAAAACATGTTAAATGCGAGATTTGACATGAAGGATATGGGTTTGGCTGATTTAATCCTCGGGATTAGAATCATTAGAAGACCTGATGGTCTCGTGTTGAGCCAATCACATTATATTGACAAAATCCTTGAGAAATTTAACAAGGATGATAGTCAAGTAGCTAGGACACCATTTGATACAAATATTCACCTAACCAAGAACCACGGAGAAGGTATTTCACAAGTGGAATATGCTCGGGTTATTGGTAGTCTGATGTATGAACTGTACTAGGCCGGATATTGCCTATGCGGTCAGTAAACTTAGTAGATATACGAGTAACCCCGGTGCTATGCACTGGAAGGCAATAGTAAAGGTTATGAGATACTTGAGGTATACTCGTGATCTTGGACTGCACTACGGGAGATATCCCGCTGTACTTGAAGGGTATAGCGACGCAAATTGGATATCTGATATTAAGGACTCTAAGTCCACGAGTGGTTACGTGTTTACACTAGCCGGTGCAGCCGTTGCATGGAAATCCTCTAAGCAAACTGTGATAGCTAGATCCACGATGGAATCTGAGTTGATAGCCTTGGACAAAGGTTGTGAAGAGGCTGAATGGCTACGCCATTTTATAGAGGATATTCCTAATTGGGAAAGACCGGTACCTCCATTGTGATAGTCAAGCCACAATTGAGAGAGTACAGAGTCATATGTATAATGGTAAGTCTAGACATGTGCGTCGTAGACATAATACCATTAGACAACTACTCACAACTGGTGTTGTCTCGATTGACTACGTAAAGTCAAAAGATAATATAGCGGATCCGCTGACCAAAGGGTTAGGAAGAGAAGTTGTGGAGAAGTTGACACGAGGAATGGGTCTAATGCCCTTGGACTAAAAAGTTCTATAGTGGATACCCAACCTAGCTGGCACCTAGGTTCAATGGGACAACTAAATTATGGAACGGAGCGCATCACTGTGGGGGTCTCGGACTCCCTACCACTCCTCGTTAAAACAGTGACTCCCGTAAGAGGCTAGCATGATAATGCTTTAATGATTCTTGAGTATGCGGGATACTCGAGAAAGAATCACCTATGTTAGAGAGAAGTGAGGGTCGCTTCAAAGGAGAATTGTTTGGGCACAATTCTTTAGAAACTCTCGCAGAACCAGGAACGGTGACCCACGACCAAAATGGGCACACTCATGAGAGCAAAAGCATGGTTGGGAGATTCCTGTGTGAGATATGTCATCGTCTACACAAACGGCAGTCGGTTCAAAGACATCGCGTTCTACCGTACAGCTAGTAGAGTAAACATGTCTTTATAAGGGAAGGTTCAAAGGGTATAGTGACTCCCTACCTATCCTATGTAGGGATCGACTTTTTGAACACAGTTGTTTCCGATTTCAAAATACCCCGAAAATCAATTTTTCATTCAAGTGGGGGATTGTTGGAAAAATAGCTTAAAATGGAATAAAATGACATGTTAAGTGGCTATTTTGTGGTACAATTATCAGTGGGGTCCACTTCCGATTTAGGTCGGGTTAAAGTGGATTCGGATACTTCATAGTGAGACGAAGATATTGATATATTGTACGCTCAAAATGGATAATGGGTGAATGAGATATTGATTCTCAAAGAAGACCCATTTGAGTTGGAAAATGAAGGGAAAAAGTGGCTTTTGTCCCACATTGCTTTGGAATGAAGATTTTCCCCCCTTATATACAAGAGCTCTTTTGGAGCTTGTAGAATTGTATAGCATAGAGGCTCTCTCGCGTGCGGGGGGGGGGGGGGGGTGGGTGTGCAAATCAAATTCAACCTAGCAGATATTGAAAAAGGCTTGATTCAATGCCCGTTCTTGTGGCCGAAACCTGTAGTCTCGGCCAAGGTCAGGCCGAAACTGTTGTCTCGGCCTTGCGGGCCGAAACTGTTGTCTCGGCCTTGCGGGCCGAGACAGTAAAAGGGCCGGCCGAAACTTCCAAGTTTCGGCCTGGTGGTCGAAATTGGGAGTTTCGGCCTACACGAACCTGTGAACTTCCAAGTTTCGGCCTGGTGGTCGAAATTGGGAGTTTCGGCCTACACGAACCTGTGCAGTTTTGTGACCGTTGGCTCTTCAATTCTACTGTTACAGAATTAATTTTTGAATTAATTCCAATTTTTTAATTTTGAATTGAAGGACATGATAATGGTGCTGTTACAGGAAGGTGGAAGGGGTGCCCTTAAGTGCCTAATTAAAAGCTATTAAATCCTTCACCCCTATAAAAAAGAGGAGTTGGGCAGTAGAGTTTTACGCACAGAAAATAGAACACGAAATTTCTTCTTTTAGCCTCAAAACCTCTCTGCTTCTACTCCTTCTTTAGCCTACTGTGTTCATAGCCATTGTCTTGCTCGCCGGATTCTTTGTTTGAATGCTCAAACATTGAACCATAGCAAGTTTTATCCAGGGAAAGGGAATGTTTTTGACTTGAACTTCCTTTCTTCATTGACCAATGCGAGCAACTTAGAGATGTTGGACCTTGGTGGTAATAATTTTGGAGGGATCTTGCCTACCGCAATCACTAACCTGTCAAGAAACCTTAGACTTCTTTCCCTTCAAAAAAATCAGGTTTCTGGAAACATCCCAAGTGGGATTTCTAATCTCATCAGCTTGGAGGTATTTCTATTGTTTCAAAACAAAATCACCGGAGAAATACCACTTGAGATTGGGTTTCTTAGTAACCTAAGAATATTGATTTTAGTTCAAAACATTTTTTTTTGGAAAAATTCCATCTTCTTTAGGAAATCTAACTCTTTTATTACAACTTGGTTTGGGAAAAAACTACCGCCACGATACTATCCCTGCAAGTCTGGGAAATTGTCAAAACCTAGAGTTGTTACAACTTGCTAACAACAACCTCAATGGGTACATCCCTAAGGAAGTTTTTGGACTCTCATCCTTGTCATTGTTTTTGGATCTTTCTTACAAGCAGTTCATAGGTTCCATTCCAAAAGAGGTTGGATATTTGAAAAATCTAGGTATCTTGGATCTATCTTATAATTCATTGTCAGGCCCTATTCCACCAGAGCTTGGTAGTTGCATTTACTTGGAAATCTTGAATCTAACAAATAACAATTTTGAAGGCCCAATTCCATCAACTTTGGCAAATCTGAGGGGTATGCAATTCTTAGAACTTTCTCACAACCATTTGATTGGTCAAATCCCATCTTTCTTGAAAGACTTCAAACTTTTAATGAATTTGAATGTTTCATACAATGAGTTTGAAGGAGCAGTACCTACCACAGGAATCTTCAACAACACAAGATCTGTTTCAATTGCAGCAAATAAAAAGCTCTGTAGGGGTATACCTGAGCTGAAACTCCCTGAATGCAATAGTACAAAGCCCAAAAAGAGAAATTCAAAAGCTCATTTGAAAGTAGTAATTCCTTTGACTCTTGGGATTGGGCTAATTCTTGTCGTGTTTCTTCTATGCCTTAGATGGTTAAGAAGACAAAGAAAGGAATCATTTCTGATTTGCAAGAAAACTTCACCTTAAGGGCGCCTTATCAAACTATCTTCAAGTCCACTAATGGGTTCTCTGCTGAAAATTTACTAGGAGTTGGCGGTTTCGGAGCTGTATATAAAGGATGTTTTGATCATGATGTTACTATTTTTGCAGTGAAAGTACTTGATCTTTTGCACCGTGGAGCTTCTCAAAGTTTTGTTGCTGAGTGTGAAGTGCTGAAAAACACCAGACACCGCAATCTTGTCAAGGTGCTAATTGTTTGCTCGTGGTTTGATCTTCAAGGAAATGATTTTAAGGCTATAGTTTACGAATACATGGATAATGGGAACCTTGAGAACTGGTTGCATTATTTTAGTCCCCAAGAGAATTCCCAGATTGAAGACAAGAGGATGTTAAGTTTTGTTGAAAGGTTAAACATTCTCATTGATGTGGCCTGCGCTTTGGATTATCTTCATAATGATTGTGAACCTGCAATAATCCATTGCGATCTCAAGCCGAGTAATGTTCTCCTGGATAAGAACATGACTGCACATGTTAGTGATTTTGGAGTGGCAAAATTTGTACAACAAAGGATTCAAAGCTCTTCAAAAAATCATAGTTCTGTAGGATTACAAGGAACTATTGGTTATGCACCTCCGGGTAAGTATTATAATTGACACTAATGCCTAAAAACTTCTCCAACTTTCTTTCTACTTTCTAATGCATTTATTCTTGTAATCTACATTTGGATAGTCACTTATTTTTGTTTTTTTTTTTGGTTTCATTTTTGGAGTAGAATATGGTATGGGAAGCAAGCCATCAAAAGCAGGTGATGTATATAGCTTTGGCATACTAATCATAGAAATGTTCACTGGGAAGAGACCTACGGATGAATTGTTCAAAGACGGCTTAACCCTTCATAGCTACGCTAAGGCTGGTTTAGCCGACAGAGAAGTGGAGATTGCAGATTCAAAAGTACTCCAAGAAAGAGATGAACAAATACAAATGAGGAAGAATATTGGGAAATCCTGCGAGGAGAAGGACAAATATGATGTGTGCTTAGTTTGTATGATCAAAGTTGGGGTTGATTGTTTTGTGGAATTCCCAGCAGATAGAATGAAGATTCGTGATGTTGTTGGTGAATTAAATAAAGCAAGGAAATTCTTCTTCATGCACTGAAGATTAATATGATATTCTTGGGAGCATGCTTTAGATCAGATAGAGTCCAAAGCTAAGAATCATCCTTTGAATTGATAAGTTGTTAGCATCAAGATGGAAGAAGTAGCTGTGGGAGATGTTACCAGCTAGCTTAGATATTGTTTTTGTTAATGCTATTTTTCTATTTCCTTCTCAATTTCTTACCCTTTTCTGCTTAGATTCTGCAAATTTGTTGCAACTTTTAGAATTAATTACACTTTTGATCTCATGAGTATTGATCTTGTTAATTTCAGTCCACAATTTTCAAAACTAACAATTGAGTATTCTAACTATTTAATTTTTTTTCAATTTCAGTCTATCCGACTAAATTGTCAAGTGAAAAATAGCCAGAACATTTTAATGTTAAAAATATTTAGAACATTTTTGTCTTTTGCTTATTCTCTGTTCTTCTCCACTGGGTCTCTTCTATGTCGTAAAAACATTCCCGTCTTTTCATATTCACTACAGGAGGAATTAATTAAGAAGAAATGAAAGATAGTTGAGCTGAATCTTTCATTTCCAAGGACACTGTTCTAACTCACAAGGTATATCTACAATTTTACAATAACGGATTACTACTTGCACAGATTATAGTAAAGTTTGAGCTCGGAATTGAAATCGATTTAGATAGGAATAGAAGTAGAAAGTACCGGATAATTAAGGCATGAGAACTGTGCTTGGAATAGGCTGAGAGAAGAGACCTTGCAGCGCAATGAGCACATCTCCAAATCCGTGAATTCATTGTCAGAACTTTCCGAACCTCTGGGTTCATTTCTTCTGAATTAATTTCTCCTATAGTTTATTAATTACCTCATCTGAATCTGAGAAGAGAAAAATGTTTTTCCGGCATATAATTTTCCGGCATAGAAGAGACCCACTGGAGAAGATCATAGAAGAAGCAAAAAAAATCAAAATGCCCTTATTGTTTTAACATTAAAATTTTTTAGTCACTTTTAACCAACAATTTGGTTAGATAGACCAAAATTCATAAAAATTCAATAGTCAATGTACTCAATTGTTAGTTTTGAAAGTCGTGGATTGAAATTAAAAAATTTCAATAATCATAGGATAAAAAATGTAACTAACTCCGGCTTTTACATAAGTTTATTTTATTGGCTTTAGTATAAGGAAATATATGAAGGCCTGATATTGTTTCATATTAGTACAAAAAAGAATATAGGAGACTGACTTTTCGCTACTCTTCTTAAAGTAAAAGAAGGGGTGTTACACCCCAAATTTTCAAGACATTTAAAACTTATAAAAGTAAAGGTGAAATCTCATTAAATCCCATAACGTAATACAAGAGTATGGGGTGCTATGCCACACCTGAGCTAGAGAACTCAGGTGCACAGGCTAACTAACTAATATCCTCAATAATGTAAACGCATAGACATGACACGCAGGCCGAAAGGGAAACTATCTACTTCTACGCTCCAAGTTCTAGCGCGTTCCAATGACTTACTCTTCTGTGCCTGAAAGCCAAATATATCTGTTCAGCGAGAGATGCTGATAACCCACACCAACGCGTTGAAATACAATACATATAGATATATATAGATATATGAAAACCATTTTGAGCATGAAGATATATTCTACGAACTCTAGCTTTTAAAACAGGGATAGACTCAACAGATAGGGCTAAGCACAGACAGCAGTTATACCAAGCATATACAGTTTATAACAGGCAAGACAGATAAGATAAGCACAATTATAAACCATAACCCAACACATACGATTCCCAATATGAATCCCATAGTCACATCCCCAAGGCACTCATAACAACAACTCCACCATATCTCATCACATAGCACACTTTGTTGGCGCCACAGGACCAATCGCATGCCCATACATGAGGGTCAGCGCATATAGCTCAGACACGGCCCCGTAGCACCCTGCCCCATATCGCAACACGGAGGGGTCGATCGCAACCGACCGATGAACCACAGCTCATCATAGTTTGATCGCAACCAAACAATGGGCCGCAGCCCAAGAGTATGTCATCTGACCGCAGCCAGGAAATATGAACCACAGCTCATGTAGAAACGTTTGATCGCAACCAAACGGTGGACCGCAGCCCAAGAGTGTAAATCTGACCGCAGCCAGCTTCTGAACCGCAGCTCAGGAATGACCAATCCGATCGCAACCGAATTGGGGTATCATGCACACATAACACATAGCAAGCATATGCAACCCACATTAACACATTGGGAAGGGGGAGAAAACGTACAACAAAACCTATGCGTGATCCTTCACATACTAAGAATAATCCTAAGGGGTTCATACTTCTTTCACCTAGGTCAACGGGATACCAATTCAACTAGCATGCAATATATAAGACTCATATATCCTACGAACGGTACCCGAAATATCAAACTATACATAGGCACGATAGACGCAGTCCGTTGGGACACCACGGGGGTCGGGGGAACATCAAACGGGGAAGCCAAAATCCCAAATAGGGCTCCAAACCAGTGGGTAGCAGGTGGGTGAGGGATCACCCGCCGGATGCCCGCCGGCGGTAGCAAAACCGGGCAGCGGGTGCCCGGCGGGCAGCTGCCCGCCCGCCGGCTGCCCGCTGCCGGCGTTGCCCAAGAAGGCCGCGGGTAGGTGGCAGGTCCCCTACCCCCACCTACCCCCCACTGACTCTTTTTCACCAAAAACGCCCCGAGAACCTTTGTGGAACCCGAAACAATGCTTAGACACTTTCAAACGCAATTGATAACACACGTAGACAATTAACGGATCAAAATCAAGAAACATACGACACATAACCTATCATGATTTTCTAAACGTAATCAACACCCGATCATGCGAATTCCCACCCAATATACCAAGAATGATTCCATACGATACAACCTAGGGTTCTAATCGTTTTTAAATCAACAAGGACACAATTCATCTTCCAATATCAAGATTCGGTAAGAATATCATATAAACATCAAGAACATCCTACAATCATCAAGAACATCATATAATCACCAAGAACGTCATATAATCATCAAGAACACCATAATTATCAAGAACCTTTCATCATCAAGGTCACCCATGGAATTATCCCATCAATCATAAATAATAATATCATAAATCATCAATACTCAATAATATGGGGAAATCCTAGGAGGGGAATCATAGCTATGAAAATAGGTTTTGTTGAGACATGGGTTACCTCTTAGCCTTAATTAATTCCTTGGCTATGAAGGGTCTTTCTTTAAGCTTTCTTGCTTTCTTGATTTCTTCTAAGGGAATTCTTGGAGCTCTTTGGGGTGGTGAGTCGTTTATTGTGGTGGGGGGGTTCTAGGTGCCTCTTAAGTCCCCTATTTATATATTTAGGAGTCCTGGTTAGGAACTAATATTATAGGCTTGCTAATTCTATTCCTTTTGGAACTAAGGATTGGGTTTAGGGATAAGGGCCCATGAACTATGGTGGGCCTTTCCTAATTAATTATTGTGATTTAATTCATTCTTTTGGGTAATTTGTTAAATGTTTAATTGGTTTTAGGGATCGTAACACGGGGTGTTACACTCTCCCCCCCCCCCCCTTACGAGGGGCTTCGTCCCCGAAGCCCGGTGTATTAATCCATTCTTTCACCCCTAGGCATCCCGCATCTTGGCCTCCCGGTTAGGAATGTGGCCCCACGTTTTGCCTTAGCTGGGGTAGACTGGATTCCTGGTGGTGATGTGATAGAAAGGTTTTGGGTCTACCTCGGTCCCCTGCTCCTGAGCTGGACGCCCCGCGAGTGCCCAAGGTGGCCTCGATTGTTGCCACCCTCTGATCTAGTGCGCGTGTCGTACGGATTAATGATGAGAACCCTTCCTCCGTGATTTGGTTTTGTCGGTTGAGCTGTGCGAGTATGCGTTCATTGATTGAGCCCTCGTTTTGCTCCCTTGGGTTCCCTCCTGATCGTGGGTGCACCGACGGGTTAGGTTCGTCATCCTCCTCCTGACCCTCATTTCCCTCCAGGGCTCCACAATCTTGCATGGCTAGTTTGAGTTTCTTGTTGGAGATGTCTAATTGGTCGACTAACTCTCTTCGCTCTTCCTCGGGTTTGAGGTGAATTTCTTCGAGGGTGAGGTAATGTCCTCCCTCAGTGTAGTAGATATCATTGCGGCGTAGGTTCTGGGCATTAAAGACCATGCCATTTGCGGTTTTGACTTCGGTGTGGCTTAGGTCCACCCCCTTTTTCTCCATGATCCAACTTAGGATCATCCCGTAGGGTAGGCTAAGTCGGTTGCTTGTTTTGCAAAACTCCATGTGTTTTAGCATGAGGGCCGGCAGGTTGAACTTGATTTTGTGTTTCAAGAAGTAGGCAAAGGTGCACTCTAAACTCCCCACGTCCTTGCTCTTATTGTTTGTGGGCAAGAGGCTATCGGTCACAATCATAACCAATATCTTTTGCTCTGCCGATAGCCACTTCCTATTAGGTCGTGTGGCCGAGGTGAATCCTTCCTCCTTCCCGAGTAGGTACCCAAGGTAGTCCTTGTACCCCGTATTTTGGGTATCAATCCACCCCTTTCGGTCGTAGTTTGACACACCCGTGGTGGTCAATTTCAAGAGCTTGGCCAAGCGGCCTTCGGAGAGTATAATTTCCTTGCCACGGACCTTGGTGGCGATTTCTAGCTTATCACCCCATTTTGTGGCCACTAGATGTTGATAGAATTCCTTCACCAATTCGGGGTACGTATCCCCCTTGATGGTGAGATACGTATCCAAAAGCCCTTGGTGGTTAAGCATATCAACCAATTCTAGAGAAAATTGGTCGGGTTCCTGGGCTTTACCTCCTATCACGGTGTAGCCGGCGTTGCTCCATTACGGGGTACGGGTTCCGAGGGGTTTCTTCGGCATTTTGACACTTTTTCCGGCGGTTCTCCGACATGATTTTCCGGCGAGCGATTTTCCCCGTTGGCGAGGGCGGCGACGGCGGGCTGAGGCCGGGTGACGGCTCGGTGGGGGGGGGGGGTTACGGCGTTGTGGTGGCGCTGGG